TTGCGTTTGCTGCCGTTTTCCTACCACGGTAATGCATTTCCCTTTGTCCTCAAATTTTCTTTGAGAGGAGATCTTTTCAATGACACTATATAAACTTTCATTTTCTTGCTTCAATTTATCTATGTCCACTTTAGCTTTATCAATTGTTATCTGCATTTTGTTTACCAGCGCCGACGTCTCGTTTTGTTTGATATTTAATAGGGCATTTTGACTTGTAACCTGTGCGTTGGCCTTTTCCAGTCGTTCTATATTACTTTGCAAGACACTCACCGTTTGAGCTGTTACAAGTTCGTTCTGTTGCACAGCAAAACTTGTAACTTTTCCGAGCAGATCTTCCTGTTTTCTCCCCCTTGTCCTGACGATTTTCTGTGCCGCCCGAGAGCAACTTTTCCGCAAATTCTCCTCGATTCTGGGACAGTTTTCTTGAATCTTCGTAGGATATCGTTTACATAGAAATGCACTTAAAATTTGCACATATGAATATTCGATTAGTTCGCTTTGCTTGGTTTGATACCAAGAGTTTAGTGGTTTCCAAGGCAGCTGAATTGTGAAGGGAATATCCTTTAGCTTCATCGCCTAATTTTCGAATATAGGGCGAGTAATGCTCAGTATCAACAACTATATCTTTTTTAAATTTTGTTTTAGAATATTTTTCCAATACATTGGCCATAACCACATATGATATATTGTTCGAATTTCGAGCACGATCGCTCTAAAGTGCACCGGAAATAAACAAATTAACAGAAAGTAAAATACAAATGCATAGGACGCTGAGCAGAAATAGCGCAGCTTCAAATTTTACAACTCGACAGAAAGCGTTTTCTTCGAGCTTCAATTTGATACCTTGGGATGCGAGTAATATGAATTTTAAAGCAAAAATTTTTGTCATCAAAGACAGAGCGTCCAATGTTTTTGTGCCGAAAGCAAAGTATTGATGTTTTCCTGTTGTATTGTGCAAAACATCGTTTTTTATGCGTTAAATGGAAACATCCAACAGCACACAATTTGGTAGAAAAATGGATCATGGTGTTGTTCCAAAGTTCAACTTCAATGTTCTTGTTGTGCAAATTGACTAACGATCCCGAGTTACCTGCTAGTGTGCTATGAATACCGTGAATTCGACGAATTTAATAGGAATTATCAAGCAAGTATGACAGTAAAGTACACATTTTGGTCGGAAACATATGCTTTGCTCAGTTAAACCTCAAATATGTCTTGAAGTCATCATTTGATGGCGTACAGCTCCAAAAGAGTTGCGCAAATTTGAATTCTTATCATGGTAAACTTCTGTTTAGCTTTTTGTGAAGTTCATATAGTAATTTATAGTCATGTTTGGACGCCATGTTTTTTTTAGACTGCGCATGCGCACTTATGCATGACGCGAATTTCTGGCGATGTCTACGTGTCTTGGTATAGCATAACCAACAGTCCACAGTGTTGGTGTGACTAATTTTAACAACAGAGCATTGGCATTAAAAGGGTATAAACAAACTTTCTTGCACTGTTCTAACTCAGCAAGGGTAATATCTACACTAGAGAAATATGATATTGCATCTCTTAACTGTAAGCAACAGAAAGCTATGGATGCAATCTTCAACTTAGTCTTAGGTGGGTCAGTTGCTTGACTCAATGCATGCAGCACAAACATGAATTTGTGACAAAATATTCTGGTTTCTTTTCCTGTAAACCTATAACTAAGAGGACCTTTCCGGCCCTCATTGAACCAGGTTCATATTCTTTTAACCAGCCGACCAACACGCATTTGGTTTTTCAAAGCTGTGATGTAAAGGGAAAAGGGACTATCCGAGGGTAGGTCTTCGATCTGTTTGCAGCTTCCTGTAATGCAAGATTTAGCCAAAGCTGTTTCAAGCATTAGTTGATGAAGATAGGCCCAAGCATTGTTACTATTATGCAATGGCTCTGCAAACCCACAATCTACTAATTTTCCCAGAAATGGTTAATATTCCTGTCTAGACCCCTGCTCCCTAATGAAATTGAGAAGCTTATTTCTCTTAGTGGCATTGGAATTATTGGACCTGCATAGTTCCTCCCTCTTATTTGCAACTTCCGTAGCAACCTTAACCCTTTCGTTATAGTTCCAGGGATGCCATGTACATGACGGATCATCCCCTAGGGATCCATTTCTGACCTGTTTGTTGTCATCATTTACATTTCCAAAAGGGGAAAAATAGTAAGCTGCGTTGTTGAGCTCTCCGCTCATTGTGTATAGCCATTTCATATCTGAGGGAACAAGTTCAACTGTAAATTTACAATTAAAACCGCTGATAATGTATGACTGTGTCTCAATGTGTGCGATATCTTGCATCAATTTCTTTGCGTACTGTTTCATGCTTGGGTGATTTCTGAGCAGTTTGCCCCACATAAAAGGAAATTGTCCCTTTCACTTTGAATATGCTTTACCCACATTTAAGAACGAAACAAGCCAAGCAGTGGCTTCATCATCTTTGCCGAATGGAGCGCCATCCGCTCCAATAGCAATTCTAAAGTGATAGGGCAATGCTCCAAAATGTTGGAAAAACGACTCAGACCCTAATGCTTGGTCTACTTGTATATATAGTTCGGCTAACACTTTTATGTAACTGCAGAAATCCCTATAGGACCCATTAATTGGTTCCTCAAATTTACTTGTATCCTTCTTAAACTCCGATGCAAAATCATGAACATTTTGAACATCTACTGATTTTATAAAGGCAATCAACTTGTCATAATAAACAAGTTTTGGGTTGGTTATTGATTGACCAACTGTTGCTTTGACATTTCTACAAATAGACTTATATTTCGTTTTAGCAAGAAGGCCATCCTCATAAAGAATTTTCAAACTGCGACACATGTTGTCATTGCTCTCTTAGCTTAATGATACTCTTTAACTTGTTTGCTCATTAAGGATGGGATAACCTTACTACGTATCTTTGGTGATTTGTCCAGATATGTTTCTAGTCGGCCAGATGTACTGTCATTAACCATAGTTGCCCACATACCATCAAGGGCTGCAGATGTTTCTCCTAAAAATAGAATGTCGCAGCTTCAAGTTTTTCTAAACAAAATTATCACTAGCTTCTACTCCTGGGTAATAGCTAGCAAACCGCACGCCATGGATGTGCAGTCAATTAACCCGTTAGCAGGCAGTGCGCCCTATTTTAGTATTTACTCTGTTTAACGCTAGATGATTTTACTCGTCAGTGGTAGAGTACGTACTGCCGGTAAATGGGTTAAGAAAAAAAATTCATTTCATATAGCCGTAATTAATGCTACTTTCATATAAACATCAGTCTTAATCTAGCTACAATGTTTTAGATCACTGGTTTCAAATGTTTTGAAAATGTCCGGCCTTGGGCAGTTTCATTTACAAAATACTATCAAGGTACTGGACTCTGATCTAGCGAAGCTTACATTTGCCAGACAGCAAGTACTTATTTACATGTCTTAACTTAATTAAAGCACTTCCATTATTACCTTCGGCATCCCCATGTATACTCTGACAGACATCTAAGGTTTCTTTTCGTCTTCTTCTGTTTGACCGAACTGAGAGAGAACATTGAAGTTTCTCTGAGTTATGTGGATCTAACTTAGAGGGTGCTTTTCGTCTTATGGTCAAATTCTTTTTCAGACTTGCTCGTAGTTTATTGGTCTTTTTATCTTCAAGTTTCCTCCTTTTTGCTTGCAAGGACTGTTCTTCTACACTGAGCAACACAATTTTTTCTTTATGGCGTTTAATCTGCAGAAGAACATTTTTTGCTAATTACTATAGAATTTATTATATTTTATTATAGTATATGCTGAACCAATGCATTTAATATATATATTTTAATTATTTCTTATATCTAGCATACTTTAATGCACTAAGAAATCCACTGCAGTCTTAAATTAACTGAAAGATTAGTGTAGATGTAGAGTTTGATGAACACCCAGTACTTACCTTCTTTGAAACGTTATCAATATCTTTTTTGGCAACTTGCAGGCTTGCATTTTTAGCCAAGAAAATTTCCTTTAATTCTTGCTTTTTTCTAGAAAGTTCGCGAACAGGGAAGCGCTTTCTTGCGGCGGCTTTGTTACTTGACTTCTTCTTGCCCATATAAAATTGTCGCTGGACAGACGCATTTGTATTAACCAACGGCAAAAGGGCAAAAGTTGTGAAAAGCACATGGATCTAAAACCCAAAAAGCTGTGAATTAGATAACTTCAGACAATTAGAAAGAATTCTATGGTTTTAAAATTTCCAAATGTAACGAAAATCTCACTTACCGAAAGCATTAACTTCAGGATTCTGACTGAGACTAGACTATAACAGCATTCTGACATCGAAGATAGAAAGCTTATTTTACCTTCGAATATAAAACAACATGTTTTCTAAGTGAACAGCTTGACAACATTGTATATTTGACTTTTAAATGTTTCAAACTCTTTAACGCCCGAACTTTTTCGTTCATTGTATTCTCATTGTTCTCCTTTGTTTCGTGTGCGCGCACTTAATACACCTATAATTAATACACCTATAATTGTATACTCTATACGAATTAAGCATTAAATTATGAAGAGTGTATTAAACAAATGTACACCCTTTTAAATTCAAATTAACTCTATTATCTATTGTGATATTTGGACAGCCGTATAATTTATTTAAGTAATGAATGCGTGAAAACACAAGGTCTTCTGCACATGGGAATTCAGGATAACTTCTATTTGTATGAACAAATAAGTAATACACAACTCAAAGAAATATGTTTAAATTAAAATGGGACTAACCTCAAATATAATTTTTTGTATGTGTAGTATTTGGGTCATTCTGAAAAGAAATGTAATGTATCTTTACAGTACACTGTTAATTTGAAGGAGTAGATACTACTCCAAATAAGGAGTAAAAAAAAAAGGTACCAGTTCACTCTGTTTTGGGAGTATTTTTTACTCCAACATTTAACTCCACTTTTAGAGTACTTTCTACCACACTAATGGAGTAATATTTACTCCAACAGGAGTAATAAATACTCTAATTTAAAATTTTACTCTCATTTTGGAGTCAAAAATATACCAAAAGTGGAGTAATATTTACCCTCACAGGAGTAATAAATACTCCAGTTTAAAATTTTACTCGCATTTTGGAGTCAAAACTATACCAAAAGTGGAGTAATATTTACCCTAACAGGAGTACTAAATACTCTAGTTTAAAATTTTACTCTTATTTTGGGGTCAAAAATATACCAAAAGTGGAGTAATATTTACCCTAACAGGAGTACTAAATACTCTAGTTTTAAAATTTTACTCTCATCTTGGAGTAAAAAATATACCAAAAATGGAGTAATATTTACCCTAACAGGAGTACTAAATACTCTAGTTTAAAATTTTACGCTCATTTTGGAGTTAAAAACATATACCAAAAGTGGAGTAAATTTTATTCCTTATGAGTTATGGGGATGTAAATTACACTAAAAATATGAACAAATAGTAAAATTGCAATGAATAAAGGAAGAAAATTTTAATTAACATAACACTTTGATCATAAGTACAAGGATTATAATATGTTTTGCTGGTTAACGCTTACCCTGGTTCCAGAGGCTCTTTGCAAGGCGAAATAAACGAGAGGCGAGAAGGAAGAGCCTCGGGTCACATCGGTTGCAAATTCCACTTCCACACTTGATTAGGTTCAGAATTTCAATGTCCCATGTGATTGGCCATTTGTAAAAATATGTCAAACCGGTTTGGAAAATAAACAAGCTAATTATAGCTATTATTAATAGCTATAATTAGCTTACAGTAATGTTGTTTTGCCTCGCAAAGAGCCTCTGGAACCAGGGTAGTTAACGCTATCAAAATTGCTGTTTATATGCATGCAGTAAGTTGAAAAAGATTTGTTCGACTTAACTAAGTTAAAAAAAATTCTTACAAATTCTTTTAAAAATTAAAGTCCTTACAAATTCTTTTACACTACAATTTGCCCATTCTGCAAAATTAATTCCCACCGTGATGACAGAAACTTTGATAGCGCAGCCTTCAGGTATAAGTACAAAAATTTACATGCATTCAATTACAAGTATACTAATACTGCATGTTTACTAGCAACATGCATGATGCAGAGCACGTACTGTAGCTCGGTTAATTGTTAAAATGTTATTCAAGATCTTGCAAATATTTGTTGATTGCAACCCTTTTTTAGCTTCCCTAGTTCTCTGCATCATCGCAGCTTCCAAAAACAGGAATACATTTGTGCTTGACAGTTGACACAGGGTATTCTGGCAATATTGAACACTTAATAGCAACTTACAAGATGCGCCAACACATTCTCAATTGTTATTGAACTGTTAGATTTCATCAGGATCTTGCCCTCTCTAGCGATGTACAATGGCTTTACATCACCGGACATGACTAGCCCCCACAAGTCTTGGTGCGACTGATGCTTCAATGGCATCATCAATAGGTTTGTCACCCTGTTTGAAATTGAATTTAAGGAAAATCAGATTTTATAGTAGATGGACATTGGACAACAGATCTCTTTGGGGGTGGCATGGGTACTGCTTCACTCAGACATCCCAGTTAAAAGGAGGTTGTGCTAAAGCCACTAATTATATAAAGTAAACATTCATATTCCCACTGGAGGTTCCCATTCCCAACTTATCCAAAAGCCTGAACCAGCTCATTGGTTGCCAAAGCTAGCTACGTGTATGCTACTGTTACAAGTTGGAAAAATGACAACATCGTATCCATACAGTAGGGCTTGATGGTCGGGAATTACATCGAGATGCCAAGGATGAAGCATTCGAAAGGGGAGAGTCTGCCTTAGATGCAGAGCATGAGCTTCTTCCAGTACAAGGGGCAGAATTACAGTCGGAGACTGGGATTGAAGGATCAACCTGTAATATTGTAAAACTAGATTTAAATAACAAATCCTTTATAATAGCACTGTTTTATACCTAATAAAAATTACCGTAACCCATAAAAGGAGCAACCAGACATTTAATTTTAAACCTCTGCCTAATTCCAATAAATGACAAACTTTCATGATACCATGTATGATAAAAATTAGGGGCCGATTACATGGAGCATTTTCAACCCCAGGTTTAAACTCAGCCCTGTTTACCAGGTTGAAATTTCAGCCCTGTCTGTAATACAAAACTCTATCAAAATCAAACGCGCGATGGATACCCTGGGATGAGTTCGGCAACACCGGGGTTGAAATTTCAACCCTGCTTCAGCTAGCAGGATTAAAATCTCAACCCCGGGGTTGTAATCGTTTTAACCCAGGGTTGAAATTATCATGAGTTATTTGAGCATGCGTGGTAGTAACTATTTATTACAAGAAAACAAAATGAAGGCTTTTTTTACCTCTGGGAATTGATGCCGAGAACGTATAGTATAGCATGCTTACAGTGTCATGTTACTCTGAGTGTATATCTACATCAGGCAGGCTTGAAAAATATGCCTGGCCACGGTGGCCAGAACCGACCTGACCGCGTAGCTCAATTGGTAGAGCATTGGGCTAGTATTCCAAAGGTCGTAGGTTCGATTCCCACTGCGGCCAGGCATATTTTTCAAACCTGCCCAGTGTGGATATACACTCAGAGTAACATCACACAAGCATCTTATTCACCTGAGTACATTACACCAACACAGTAAATCTCATGATTATTAGACTACACTGATATCGAAGGAACTAGACTCAGTTCTGACATACCGCATACTCAAACCGACCTGACCGCGTAGCTCAGTTGGCAGAGCATTGGGCTAGTATTCCAAAGGTTGTAGGTTCGATTCCCACCGTAGCCAGGCATATTTTTCAAGCCTGCCCAGTGTCGATATACACTCAGAGTAACATCACACAAGCATCTTATTCACCTGAGTACATTACACCAGTATAGTATAGCGTTTCAATCCCGGGGTTGAAATCGTCCATGTAATCGAAAAAAAAATTTCAACCTGGTTAACAGGGCTGAGTTCAACCTCGGGGTTGAAAGTTCTCCATGTAATCGGACCCTTACAATTCCTTATTCTGGACTTGTAACCGGCCATGTTGGTCCCCATTTCAACAAGAGAATCTCATTTCTATAGAATGGTGGCCATGTTGGCCACCAAATTCAATTATCTGTTAATTGCCAAAGGATTGCTTGCAAGTCAAGAATACATAATTATATGCCTTTAATTGCAATTATAATTTACCTGATTTTTATATCTTTGTATAGCAATCTTTAATTTGACAATCTGCCCTCCTTTGCTTTTGAAACCAATTCTTTTAGTAAGACATCACTACAGACTGCCATGAAGCAACTCGATTGTGCAGAGCTATTAAAATATTAGAAACAACCATTATTTGTCTATAAAATGTGACTATTTGTCACTGTTAATTTTGTAAAATAGCTGCCATTGCATTCAGTCCCCACACCTCACCTCGGTTGGTATTTTGGTACAAATAAAACACTAGCAGGACTGTGACCAGATCGACGTTACAATCAGATTTGGATCCACATTTATATAAACAATAAACATTGTACTATTGCAGAAATCCAGTGCAGTAGAAATCATATTTTCATAATTTTCAACATAATATTTCGGTGCTTCCAGGAAAATTTGATGGTATTTAAGGAAATTTCACATGGAAAAGAGGGAATTTGAATGTGGAAGCAAATGTGATTTGAAAATTTAACGAACGCAAATCAGACTTTCATTCTCATAGCCATATATCATTGAAAATGTCATAAAATGATTTGTTATACTTTAAGTTTAACATGTTCTCATAGCTATGCCAGTATGTGAATATGTGATGGATACCCCGTCTTCTGTTAGATTGTCTAGAACATATTAAATACAGTATGTTCTAGACAATCTAATAGCCGACTCCTGCACTCAATATATAACACTCAGTCTCAGATAATTCTAGGCTCATTGATGTTGCTTAAAACGAATAAAATGTCTTTGGATTAAGAAGAATATTAAGGAAATCATATATTTTCGGCATACCATAGTTATAATACAACCCTAAATCACTAAATTATTTTTTATTATGGCATATTTAGACGGGCACCGATCCTTCCCATAAAAACAAAATAAACTTCACAGTACCTCTAAATCTGAATCCATTTCTTCTCTGTATACTGTTTCTTGAATATATTTGACAAAACGGAGAGAATGAAGCTCAAATTTAATGTTTTAAAACGACAAAACGCATTAAGCACAAATTTCCAGCCTTGCTTTGGTGAACACGAGGGAGAAAAGATTGAATATGGCGCCCGCGATGCGTATTGGGTTCGTATTGTCACGTGATGTTGAAAGAGGCGCATAATTGGATGCCCAATCAAAGGCTCAAGGAAATCAAGTTTGCAGGAATAGCAAATTCGTAAGTGTAAGATACGATCTGGATTTATGTTAATCATCTGCAAATGCATAGATTGCCTTGGTTCCAGAGGCTCTTTGCGAGGCGAAAGAAACGATAGGCGAGAAGGAACAGCCTCTGGTCACATCGGTTGCAAATCCCACTTCCACACTTGATTAGGTTCAGAATTTGAATCTCGCATGTAATTCGCCATTTTGTAAAAAAATATGTCAAACCGGTATGGGAAATAAATTAGCTTACAGTAATGTTTATTTCCCAATTTTCTCATTTTACTCCTTTATGAGAGTTGAATTGACTCCCAGAAATGCATTACTTACTCCGGTATGTTTACTCCTTTTTTGGAGTGAAAATAAAGGAGTAAATATACAATAATTACTCCGATATTTCTATTCCTTTTAAAGAGTAAATTCTACTTTTTTATGAGAGTTGGATTGACTCCTAGAGCAGTAAGATTGGAGTTAAAGTTACTCCTGGAATAAAAATAAAGGAGTAAAAAGTACTCGAATATTTGTACTCCTTTGCTGGAGTATATTTTATTCCTGCAATGGAGTAATATTTACTCTTAGTAGAGTAAAAGTTTTAATGTGAACTGAAATGGAGTAGTTTGAACTCTGGTTTTGGAGTGAAATATACTCTAATTTTTTTACTCCCCAAAAGGGAGTTATTTCAACTCTTACGGTGGAGTTAAAATTACTCCCTAGAATTAACAGTGTAAAAAAACTCATCTTGATTAACTTTTTCACTGTCAAAGTTTCAGATGTGATGTCATTACGTGAATTTTTGGTACAAAAAAAACAAAAACTAATTTGCAATTCAACTAATGACATCAAATCCGGAACATTTGACAGTGAAAAAGTTGATCAAGATGGGATTCTTTATTATAAAGATAATTTATATTACAATTCTTATTCAAATAACTCAAGTATTACACAAACCAAGAATCATATTAGTGGTTAGTCGCACTGTAAGCATTATTCAAGTTTGCATGAGATATAAAATGACCCAGCTTACGGCAGAGCAACGAATATTTAGAAGGTTATGGCTAATTTGAATTTGAAAGGGTGTAATTTTATTGATGTACCCTGTACTTCATGACTTTGACTTGAAAACTGTCCAGAGTTATTTGTCTTAATTGACAATTAATTTCTCATACTTCCATAAGCGCATCTAATTATTGTCCCAAATCACTCGTTTGAGATGTCCAAATCTTCCAATTCGGACTGGACTAGATTTCAAGTCCTTCCAATTTGATCAAGTCCTCGACTTCGCCTCGAACTGGATCAAATTGCGCGCACTTGAAATCTAGTCCAGTCCTCATGGTCGGATTTCAAATATTACTTGAAACATTTTTACACAAACATCTCTTGTATCTCTTGCAGATTCTTTTTGTTTAAGATGTGGTATTCCAGCGACTTTCGCATTGTTACGAACGAGAATATTCTTGCGCTTCATCAATCGAGTTTGATACGAGTTCAACCTTGTCAGCTGTTTCAGCAAGTCGAGATCCTAGACGCAAGATTTGTTATTTAGCTGTTTTGCTGAAGCAACATAGATCGTCATATTGATTTCCCAAATAGTCCAAGCTTTTCTGAGTTTCTACGCTTAGAGTCTGGCATTTCTGAGCATTATTGTTATTCCATTTACTGGCGACTTTTAAAACAAATTTCAGGATCAAAATTGAGGACATCACCAAAAACACACGTCCACTCTCAAGGAGTAGCTCTCTAAAGATCATTGAATATCGTAGGGGCATAGTAAAGCCAGAAAAATATGAAACTTTTATATGAAATAAGGCCGATTTTCGTTTCGGGCTTCTAGCATTATTCCGATATGTTCAGTATTTTATTCATTAATGTGGTATTTCATAATTATCGAATAGTAGTTGAAAACAGAACAACTCGGATTTAACCATAATTTTGAGGGGAGAGAATAAACCATGACGGTTTTTTTATATAAATTTGTAACAGTTGTTAAAAATGGCCCGGAGGGCCTTTTTTATGGCCCGATGGCCCAATTCTCTAAGTACGTCCCCTCACAGCTCAGTTTCTTTAAAATTTCGGCAGGAAAATATAAAGGACAATAGAAACTGAGTTTAAAAAAGTGTATTTGAATCATCACATTACAAGGTTTTATTACATCATCTTAATATGTCTTTTAACACCATCCTTGTTTTTCCACCCTACACTGTTAATTTCAGGGTGTTAAAATAACATCTCGGGTGGTGTTAGATTAACACCAACTGGTGGTGTTAGATTAACACCAACTGGTGGTGTTAAACAAAAGTGTTATTTTAGCACCCTTGTTCGGTGCAAATTTAACACGACATAAATAAAAATATTTTGCAAAGTGTTAATTTAATACTCAAATTGTTTAACACCACTTTACAGGTGTTAAAATAACACCCACTTAAGGACAGGTGGTGTTAAAATAACACCGGTTTCCGGTGCTAAATTCTTGGTGTTAAAATAACACCATAAGTGGTGTTAAGAATTTGTATTCCCCAGTGTTAAATTAGCACTGTTTGTGGAGTGAGAACATGGGTGTTAAAATAACACCTTTTTGGTGGTGTTAAATTAGCACGCATCACGAGTGTTAAAATAGCACCTTTTGGTAACCTTTTGGTGGTGTTAAATTAGCACGGAGTACGGGTGTTAAAATAGCACCTTTTTGGTGGTGTTAAAACTGTTTGTGCAGTTATAATAACATATATTCTTAAACTAAACACTTTTACAGTATAACACGGTCTATAAACACACGTTTTGAGCCTGGTCTACCGTCACAGGTTAGGCCGCTGGCCGATTACAGGTATATCGCCAAATTAATTGGCAAATATTTATCCGAACATAAGGATATTATCTACTGGTAGCATGAAACAGCCGCATATTAATTTACTGGTAAATTATAAACCATTTCACAAATAAACATTTGAATTCAGAAGTTAATTACTAGACGTCATAATAATAAATTAACAGAAATAGTTCCCATGTCACATGTGTCATGTATGTTTATGCATTTCATCATAAAGATTGGAAACTGGCAAAATTGGACCTCAAAATAACGCATTTCAAATATTATAAGTCTTATAACACGCTATAATTTGAAGCAGCAATAACACAATATGAAGATAACACACAATGAAGCCGAAATATTTGAGTATTCGCGCGCCGCATGATCGAGCTTTCAACCAATGAGGATAGCGCCGCCGTGAAATCTAATACCTTCTTGTCGCATCGATACTGGCTGTCTGGCATTATAGTTTGTGGTCGTTTGTATGGGAATATATCTGCTATTGTGGTGCGAGGGTTCTATAATGATTGTTTCTAAGTGTCAGTGCGATGGAAGCGATACAAACTGATTAAAATGGCTTTAGTATATTCATATTTCAAGCATAAAGATGGCTTTAAAACCGTGTGAGGAAGAAGCGAGCAAGGTTCCTGTTTGTATTTGAATGACAAAGGTCTGGCTGCCAATGCAATTCAAAACGAGTGGTTCATAGCGTCAATGCTTTAGAATTAGTTCGCCTGTAACTTCAAAGATGTGATAAACGTCGAAAGGAATAAGGTGAGTTATTATAATAATGCGAGAATTATCCCCGAGCCGACGGCGCGAAGCGCCGTGCGAGGGTACTAATTCCCCCCGGCTATTTACACCCGGGGAAACGAAAGCATTTGCGAAGTCTAAAGTTCATCAATTATCGCGGGCGTGACCAACGAACGACGATCTTGAGTGGGTGGTCATCCTCACTGATCTCAAAAATATGGCAGACTATCATGAATAGCGAACACTGATTGGTCAAATTTAAAATTTGTTGTTGTATGACAAACGACGACTTCAACTGACAAATACTTCATGAAAATAACTTGCTTTTTGCACTACAGTATTTTGTACGTTTGCAAAAACTTTTCACAGTTTTCAAAGCAATCTGTTATATAACAAGTTTAACGAAACAATTACGGTATCAACTACAAATTCAAAAAAAATGGAGGCAAATGAAGAGCGACATGAAAACGACAAGAAAGCCGAACGTTTAGCGAAAAGAAGGGAGCAAAGACGACAACGTTTGGCCGAGGAGACAGCTGAGGAAAGAGAAACTTGCCTGGGAAAACGCAGAGAAGCATGGAAAAAAAGACTGCTGAGGCAAAAGGTAAGCAAAGGCAGTAGAGGCACTATAGGCAACAGAAAGAAGCTGCAGAAAGTACCGAGGAAAGAGAAGCTCGCTTGGCAATACAAAGAAAAGGATGGGGAAAAAAGACTGCTGAAGCGAAAGGTAAAAAAAAAATGAGTATATGAGAGTCTATAGGGAACAGAAACAGGCTGGAGAAAGTGCCGAAGAAAGAGAAACTCGCTTGGCAAAACGAAGAGAAGAGTCGGAAAAAAGACTGCTGAAGCGAAAGGCAAAACAAATGAGTATATGAGAGTCCATAGGCAACAGAAACAGGCTGGAGAAAGTGCCGAGGAAAGAGAAACTCGCTTGGCAAAACGAAGAGAAGCGTGGCAAGAAAGGACTCCAGAAGTTAAAGGTAAGCGAAAAGAGTATAAGAGAGTGTATAATTTAGATAAAATGCAAAATGAGACTGAAGAAGAACGAACTAACAGAAAGCAAGACCAAGAAACCGAAACAGTTGATGAACGAGCAAGAATACTTGAAATACTACGAGCAGTTTTTTACACAGCAAGTGCAAATGAAAATGACCAAGAATCACATGAGCAGTTGAGTATGTCTGTTGATACAACTGTAGATATATCTGTTCCTGAAGCAGACGAGGATAGTGAGTCTGTACATGAAGCAGAGGGCCAGAGGTGAGTAGAAATGAATATTTACATGAGGGTGGTTGGCAAAATGTTGACAACCCTCTGCATGAGCTAGAGTTTGTACAAAATGAAATGCACAGTTTTCATTTAGATCAAGAACATTTAGAGCATCGACAATGTACAATGTGTAAAGAAACTTGGCCGACACGACAGAACTTGGCATCAGAAGTATACCTTTGTTACCGGTGCAAGAAAGACAAGAAATCACCCAAGAAATTTAGTGCGGAGAATGACATGGACCCAGGAATAGTTCCTGAACAATTGAGCGGTTTGACACAGGTAGAAGAAATGTTAATTTCAAGGGTTTGTCCCATTATGAGAGTGTATAGAAAACATGGGGGTCAGAGGGGGTATAAAGGACGTGTACTTAACTTACCTCAAGATATTCAAAGTTTCTTGAAAAGGTTGCCTTCTCGTGTGGCAGACTTGCCTGTTTTGATTGTGCGAAGACATGGTACAGAAGACACACATCGAGACTTTACTGTGCGTCGACACAAAGTTGTTGAGGCTGTGTTATGGTTAAAGACAAACAATCTGTTCTTTAAAGATATTGAAATTGATAGAGATGTCATCCAAAGTTTACCAGAAAATGGTATTCCTGATGAGCTAAGGTATGTCATTGATGAAAATGAGCTTTCAGTTCATGTTGAAAATGAGGGGCCTCCCCAAGACCCAGTAATGAGTGCTAATGCAAGTCTGGAAGAGTTAGTTTTATGAAGTGGCAGTACATCGTTTATTCCTATGCGTCAAAGACAGAGAAAAGAAGGTGCGGCTATCCAAGATGCAGTAAATGAGGTTGATCCGTTAGACTGGCCATCTACTGAAGGTAATCTCGTTAATGAATTTAAAACAGATGGTTTAGCTACTATGGCCTTTCCTACATTGTTTCCTTATGGGAAGGGTGACCCAACAAATAGGGCAGGACAACATGGTATAACGTTAACCGAAGCTTTCAAACATTTAATGAAGTTTGCAGAGAGGCTTGTAGATGGTAAGTTTGAATGGAGGTTTGCTTCTCGCCCTCGGTTTCCTTATTGGGCGTTAAACATGAAACAACGGCATCAGCTGTTGTCACAAGCAAACGTTCACTTGCGTCAACATCCTGCTGATGCAAACATGACAATGGAAGAACTGAAGCAGATGATCAATTCCATGAGTGCAAACCAAATGGTAAATAGGTTGCAGCGATATGTGTCCAAAGTACAAGGTACGAATCAGTATTGGTATCAGCGGCTGCAGGAATTGCTAGCCCTGATTGAACAAAAAGCCTGCCCTACTTTTTTCTTTACCTTTAGTGCAGCTGACATGCATTGGCCAGAGTTACAGAGGCTGTTGCAGAATGATGAAGGTGCAAGCAGATCTGAGCGAGCACAAGCTGTAATCGACAATCCCCATCTGACTGATTGGTTCTTTATGCAGCGGCTGCAGGAGTTTGTCAGACATTGGCTTAATGGCGTCTTGGATGCTGAGTGGCACTGGTATCGGTTTGAGTACCAAGCTAGGTGAAGTATTCATTGCCACGGATGTGCAAAGTTAAAAAATGACCCTGATATAAGAGAATTACGTAATAAGGCATGTGTTGCTTTCCTAGAGAATGAGACAACAAGGTACGAAATGTCACCTGATGATTTTGAATTCCTTTGTGGGGATGTGATAAGACAGGGAGAAGATGCTGAGAAGTTATTAATACAGTAAGAAATAATATTTTCCATATTAATGTTTCCATATATGTGTACTGTAGACCAAGTTAACTGTGCAGAATCTGTTGTGGGATAATTGTTTCAATAATATTATAACATTATCCTGCAACAGGCCTTCAAATGCATGTACCGCCACAATACTGGATCCAAATTATTGGAATAGTTACACAATACCGGACTCGCTTCTCATACTGTAGTCATAACATTGAATTTTGCATTTTTAGAGATGTCTTACTGTACCTCGATCCTACTCAATATATTGTAATAGCATTTCAAAATGCCATGAAAACTGTACTAAGGCATGCTCCCAAATTTTGATATCAACTAAAAGTGTGCAGGTCAAATGTTCATGTTAACTAAAAAGCGAATATTGTATTTATTGTGCATGTACAGTATTAACCACTGCTGCCTATTTTGGATATTTAATAATATGACTACTACTGTAAATATAAAGGCAGAATAAACTACTGTACACAACTTTTGCCTAAAACTGTCGCATACAACCTGCTTATATACTGTATATGTACACAACTTGAGTTTACTGGGTGAACCAAGCACACAACTATAGCTATGACAGCGTAAGTGGGTAAATGCGAGTTATACAGTGTCAACTTGTGTGCTTGATATTTTACACAGTACAACTCAAGTTGTACAAGCAGGTTGCATATAAAGGTGAAAGTTGTGTAGTGTAAATCTGCTTTTTAATACACAAAACGCTCACCAAATATCCAGCTAATAATATATGCAGATAGCCAATCTCCACAATTTTGAAAGGTTTTCGCCCATCTTTTTTATTATTATTCATATTTTATTATATTATAATACGGTAGTAATCGTAGTATTAACTTTGCTACGTTAATTAAATTGAAAAAGTAACAATATTTTACACAAAAACAAAAATTCCTTATAAAATTCCTTAAAAGGTTTCAATTTTCCTCAAATGAATTTTCAATAATTTCTGAACATTTCATTGGAATGTAAGAAATTTACATAAATAGAAAGTGGAAATTTAACTGTGGTCATACAGGTTTCACAGGAAAATATAATTTCACTCAGTCAATGGTGTGATTGAAACTGTTTTATTACTATAAATTTGGTAATATTTGGCTAATACAACGAGCGTGCACATTTTTAATAATAAGTTGTTATTATTTTAAAGGTATGTTGACTGGCTGGTGACAAATTTTAATGAGGAATTGCCAGATGAAACCTGGAGGATTCCAGATCCTCACACATCTGCTGTTAGCGCTACAACAGTGGATAATCGTCACAATGATTATCACTGGTTAGTTAATACTGTAGAAAGACACACTAGATGCAGTCCAGCGTATTGCTTGAAACAGAAAAGAGTGAACCTGCTTGCAGAATGCAGATTTGGTTTTCCAAAGCCATTGCAAGAAGAAACAGAACTGAGCCTTGAGCTGGTGGTAAGAATACGAAGTCTGTTGAGTCTGAGTTACATACCAAACGAAATGATCAAAGATTAAATTCGCATAACAGGGTGATGCTCAAAAACTGGCGGGCAAATGTAGATTTGCAAGTCATTGTAGATGTGAAGGCTTGTGCAAGATACATGGCCAAGTATGCTGCGAAAGGAGAACCCCGATCGAAATCGGCGTCAGAAATACTAAAATTGTCTGTGTCCTCATTACAGAATGATGATCAAGTCTCTTCGGCCTTCAAGAAAGCAATGATCCAAGTTGCTGGGGATAGAGATATGGCAGCACAAGAAACTGCACATATGTTACTTAGTCTACCACTGGTTGGCTGCACATTTAGTTTTGTTACTATTTCTTTAGATAACAGCAGGAAGGTTAATATTGATGCAGAAAACGAAGGCGATGGGGTACTTCAAAAATCTGCGCTACAAGAATATGCAGAACGTACAAAATTGAAGAATAGGTATACAGGCTTGTCTCAGCTAAATCTGATGCAATATGTGTCACAGTACACGAAAGTCCGAGGTGAGTTGACAAAACGAGCGAATCCGTACATTGTCAGGACATTTCCAAAGATTTCCGCTAATCCTGCTGGTCCTGATTTTGGTAAATACTGCAAATATCAACTAATAAAGTTTAAACCATGGGAGGGTCAACCATCAAATTCTTGGAACAACGAGGATGAAAGTGATCAAATGTTTATTAATGCATATGAATTTTTTCTTATGACAGATGAATTTGCAGAAGAAAATGTGTTTAGTTTTTCCGATGAAACAGACAGAGTTCATGATGCGCAATGTGATCAAACCTTTGAAAACGATCCAAGTGACAATCAAGATGATGACGACGAAAGTGAAGTTGACCCTGATGATGAGGAGGAAGTCGATGATTGGATGTTGTTATGCAGAATTAACCAAGATTATGGTGAAGCAGGTAATCGGATGTCAGACAATGAAGCAGTGGACTGGTTTGAAATGGTAAGAGCTGTGCCTAGAGATTTATTAAAGGAATGTCCAGGATGGATTTATAGTCAAAGAAAGGAGGCTGAAGAACATGGTCAGCATTTTCGAGAAGATGATCAACAATGTGTAATTGATCCGGACACCTTGAATGAAAAACAACGCCTTGCTTATGACATCATCACATCTCAGAATGGTGATAATGCCGAGCCTGTTTATATGATTGTGTGTGGAACAGCTGGCACAGGTAAGACATACTTAATAAGTGCAACAAAACAAGTATTAGCCACTCAGTGTGTTGTTACAGCAACTACTGGGATTGCAGCCTTTAGTATTAATGGTCAAACATTACATTCTGCTGCTCAACTTCCTATCCATGAATATAGGGATTTGCAGGTTGATTCACTACAGCGGTTACACCTGAGGCTGGAAGGTAAAAGATTT